ACTAATGTAGAATTTTGTCGATGGTGCAGAGATCGAGTGGCTGGGCATCAAGAGGATGAGAATTTTCATTGTGGTAGTAGAGCTGCAATTTTTCTGGGTGGAACATGTTATGAATATCCCATGAATCAGGGATGTCAAGTCAGCAGGAAGGGGCATTTTCAACAAGCTCAGTGATTTTGTAGGGTCCTGTGTATTGATTGGAGAGCTTGTTGGTGGGACAGTAGTGGATGCTCAGTGGCTTGAAGTCCTTAAGGGATATAAGGACAAGATCTCCAACTTGGAAAGGTGCACAGAGGTGGTGGCAATTGGAGACAGTGGAATAACAACCTTGCGCATCCTGTATGCAGTCCTTGGCAACTTGGTAGGTAGCCTGGAGGTCCCATAAGGAAAGTGGAGAATAAACTGCAAAATTGAAGTTAAAAATGGATCATGGATGGCAACCAAAATTGAGAAAGAATGGCATGTAGCTGGTTGAAGAGTTGACTGTCGTTGATGCCAAATTTGACTTTGGCAAGGTGGATCCCAGTTGCCTTGCTGGTAATTGATGAAGTGGTGGAGTGCTTGAAGAATCCAGTCATTTTTCTGCTCCGTCTGGCCGTCGGTCTGAGGGTGAGCTGTGGTGGCAATGGTTAATTGGACGTTAAGTGAACGACAGAGCTGTTTCCAGAAGCGGGAGGTGAACTTGGAGTCACAGTCAGAGATGTAGTGGAGGGGAATGTCGTGTTGAACAAAGATGTGGCGTTCGAAGAGATCCACAGAAGTAGTGTGGCAGGGCACTAGGCGTGTGTGTTTGGTCATTGAATCGACAACAACCATGAGAGTGTCATATCCGGCTTGAGTGCAGGGTAGTTTGGTCATGAAGTCCATGGAGCAGGTGTGCCAAGGATGAGGGGGCACATCATGTGGCTGGAGTAAGCCGTACGGCAGACGGCGGGCAATCTTGAGGCACTGACAGGTGTCGCAGGTCTGTACGAGGTGTTGTACATCTGCGTGTAGCTTTGGCCAGTGGAAGTAGTGGGTAATATGCTCGGCAGTGCGTTCCCAGTTGTTGTGGATGGCTGGCCCGTAGGAGTGGGCTTTCCTAATGATGCTGGTACGCAAAGGCCCTGGAATAAAGAGTCAGGCATGTGACTTGTTGACATAGTAAAGGAGGTTGTTGCGGAACTGGTAACAAGCTATCTGGCTGGTTAGTTCCTTAGGAGCATTTGAAGGGTCATTTTCGAAGGTGTCAGGGTTGGAGGGATCCACCAGATACTGCGTGATCTTGATGAATTTGGGGTCAGTAGTACACATGTCCTTGACGTCAGAGAGGAGATTGTCCGTGATCTTGAGTTCAGTAAGATTGAGTGTGGAGATGGTTGGCAACTGTAATTTTGAGTCAGTGGCTTGTGAGTGGAGATCTACCTGAACTGAAGCTTCGGTGGCAAAATGATGTTGGGAAAGAGCGTCGGCTACAGTATTCCACTCCCCCGGTGTCCACTGGATGTGAAAATCATAGGACAGGAGGTCTGCAAGCCAGCGGTGGTGGACAGGACGGAGTTTGGGCTGCGTGAGGATATGGCGCAAGGACTGGTGGTCTGTAAAAATGTAGACTTGGTTTGACCCGTAGATGTAGTTGCAGAAGTGCTTGAGGGTTTCCACTAGGGCAAGGATTTTGCCCATGTATGGATGGTATTTGGATTCCTCGGGCTTACATTTACACGAGAAATAAGTGATGGGTTGTTTAATGTCATCATGGTTGGGCTGGGCAAGGTAGCCAGTGATGGCTTGTTCTGACCAATCTGTGGAGATGTGGATGGGCTTGTGTGGGTCAAACATGGCCAGACTTTTCCAGTTTGGTCAATACAAATTTCACTGCAGTGAAGATTTTTCTGGTGTCTTTGTTTCAGTGTTGGTCGAAGGGGATAGTCTTGTGATCTCAAAGAAGATCTGAAAGAGGGGCCACGAGGGTGGCATGCCAATGGATAAAGTGGTGGATGGTGTTCGTGAGGCCCAGGAAGGAGCGGAGTTCAGAGTAGCTTGTTGGCTCTTCAAAATTGCGAATGGAGAAGGTTCGGGATCGCAGGACTGAGATGGCTCCCTGGGAGACATGGTATCCCAGCCATTCAATGGAGGTTTGGAGGAAGGCACATTTGTGCAGACAAACTTGTAGTTTATTCATGCTCATATGGTGGAGCATCTTATCAATATGCAAGAGATGATCTTGGAGGTTCTCTGAGAAACAGAGAAGGTCATCAATGCAGGTGGTAAGGAAATCGTCGATGAATTCCCGGAATATCCCATTGATGGTGGTCTGGAATGCGGCGGGGGCATTGGCAAGGCCAAAGGGCATGACAACCCATTCAAAATGTCCATACTTGGTGCAGAAAGCAGTCTTGTGGACGTCGTCAGGACAGATATGAAGCTGGTGGTAACCAGCTGCGAGATCGAACTTGGAGTAGATCCATGCATGACACAGGCAGTTGAGGGACTCCAGGATGTTGGGAAGGGGTGCGCAATTCTTGACAGTAAGCTTGTTGAGGGCGCGGTAGTCAACGACGAGGCGTAGCTTGTTCTTCTGCTTGACAAAGAACACAGGAGCTCCGTAAGGGGAAATGGAGTCACGGATGCGGGAGTGCTTGAGGAGGTAAGTCAGTTCCTCCTTCAGTACCTTGAGCTTGTCCTGATTCATCGGGTAGATGGGTCGGAAGGGTGGGCTCTGGGTTGCTTCGGGAACTGTGTCGATGTGCATGTCAGTAATGTGCTCTGGAGGCAGCCCTTCGAAGGCCTGGAAGATGTTGGGATACTTGTCTACAATGGTGCAAACATTGGCCAGCAACTTGGATCATGCAATTGCATCGGTGTCGTTGCAGGAAGCAGTGGTGGGCTGGAAGGTCAGTGCAGTTTTGTCGGTTATGTTGAGGATAAGGGCACTGACAATTGTGTCAGGTGTGGGCTTCTGTCAGAGCAGGTTAGCGAACTGGGTCACTGAAAGAACCTAGGGGACAGGACGGGGCAGCGTGCATGTCCAGCGGTGAGTTCCAATCCTCACGGTGTTGGAGGGCCAGTCAATCACTGGATTCTGGTTGTTGAGCCAGTCCTTCCTGAGGATGAGGTCGTAGGCAAGACCTGGGATGGCTGTGAAGGCTCTGGTGTCGTGGAAGGAGGTTCCTGTGATTCCCTTGGACGAGGGACTTGTCTGCTAGGCATATCTTGCAGTTATGGTTCTCAAAGGAGGTGGCCTTGAGGAATGGGAGCTTGGTGAGAATGAAGCTGGGAGTTGCACTGGAGTCGATCAGGTTCGTAACTGGATGGTCGTGGATGGATCCTTGGCAGATGAGGAGGCCTGGGGCATCAGTAAAAGGTGATAAATGATGTGTATTAAGGCAAACAAGTGGGGGTTGGTCAATAAAAGGTGGTTCCATGTAATCAGTGGGTAAATCCGGTCTAGGCAAGGTCAGAGAGTCAGATAGGTTGTTCAGTTTGAGTGCAGTAAGTCGTTTATTGCTCAGAACTGGCAGAACTGGAGTCGAGAAAGGACTCCTCCTCAGAATCGACTTGAGTGGTGGCGTTGAGGCGTGGCTTGGACTGCGAGCGAGACAAGGCACTGGGGTGCTGTTCAGACTTGCGAAATGGACGTGGTTCACGGTCTTGGATGGCGTTTGAAGCCTGGAGCTGGGCGCGGCATTCTTGGAGCTTCTGGCAGTGGTCTGTGTCGTGGCTGCGTGATTGGCAATAAACACACCAACCTTTGGAGCAAAAATGCTCCTTCTGTTCTGGGGAGAGGCACTGGAAGTTGCTGGAAGGGCGTTGGTGCTGCTGTGCATTGGACAGGTCCATTGGGTCCTAGATGTCTGGAAAGGAGTTGTGAAAGGAAGGCGTGCTGGAGCATTGGGGGCGTTTGGAGTCGTGGGTAGCCTTGGTGCTGCACTGGTTGGCGCTGTGTCCTTGGCTGCATCTGCTGTGGCAAAAGGTCATTTTGTCGAGCTTCTCTGCCTCTTGTTGGAGCTTCTCGAGGTCATTGTCGATGCAGAAGAGCTCGGGCATGATGCGTAGATGGAGCTTGAGTCCCTGGAGGTACTTGACACACAGGTGCTTGAGGGGGTAGGTCACGCCAGAAGTGGCAATGACGGAGGTGAGTTCGTTGAACTGGGCTGAGTAGGCACTGGCGGATTTGGACTGATACAGATTCTCCATGGCCTCAATGGCCTGGGTGAGCGTGAGCTGGGAGCTGAAGGACTGCTGGATCCATTCGGAGTAGCGTTCCCAGGTCATGGTGGCGCGTTCTGACTCCGGTAGACGGCACCAGGTGATGCGCGCGTGGTCATTGAGTCCTGAGGCTACAAACTGGACGTAGGTAGGTTGGCCAGTGTGGGTACAGTCGGCGATGGTGGGGGCAAAGCCGTAGAGGTGGCAAATCTCTAGCGAACAGTCGAGGTAGTCGTCCAGGAAGTTCTGGAGCTCGTGGGCTGGCCTATTCTTGCCAGACCCCGCGAAAGCGATGGGCTTGATGGAGGGCATCCTAAAGTAGGGGAGGGGATGGGCTACCATAGCAGTACCATCGGCTTGAAGGGCAGGGATGGCGGAGGCGGAAACGGCGGCTTGAGAGTGACGCACGGCTTCAAGCTCGGTCAGGAGGTACTGGTGGGTCTGGTTGAGGTCGGCGTAGGCTTGGGCAAGCTGCTGGAACTGCTGTTCGGCAGTGAGAGGCACGGGCGTGGTGCTGGAGGTCATAAGGATGTCGGAAGAGGAGGACATTCCTCTGGTGCTACCAAATGTTAGGGAATCGAAGGGGAAGATATTTAGAAGTTGATACTTTATTTCAATAAGAACACTGCTTCATTTATAGAGTTTTTGGGCCGGAAAATTAGTTAAGATATATCTGGATGATAGCAACAACATTCAACCTAAAATTTCAGATAAGTATTGTAAGATCTGTGAATCATGCGAAACTGCAGCTGATTCTTTATCGGGGATTTATCCGGGTGGAACCGGAAAGCTCATTGCGTGATATAGCACGAGCTCCGGTAGCATAGTGGTCAATGCACCTGTCTTATATCGGAGAACTGCTCTGTGTGCACGCAGGATATCGTGGGTTCAAACCCCACCCGGAGCATTTTGAAAGGTAGTTTGGAGGAGTATTGTCCGCACAACTGGTACAGCCTTGCCCCCATCAGAAACAAAGAATGCCCAGCTGAAAGGCAGTAAATGCAGTGAAATTGCATGTGTCCATATCGCTCGCCCAACCTGTAACTGACTGTATGAAACCCCAGCTTGGGAGTGGGAGCCCAACAGAACATCCACCTTTCTGGAAAAGTGTGCTCTGCCTCATTTCGACAGAATACAGTAGTTAATGATGTAATGAAAGCGATGAGCACATTGAGGCTGGCTGCCACACCGATAACAACCGATAACATGATGCCATGGGAGTGTTTTGACGAGGAAACGACAAGACTCCGAGAGCGGATGCGAGTGACCATCTACACGTCCGAGATAACCAGCAAGGTGAAGTTTCGAGATGTCGTGAGCACTCTCACTGTTGCCTCCAGTTTTGTCACAAACCTCAAAACAAAAAAGTTGTACTTGGATGGACATGGGTGCGGCGCCCCCACGCGTCACGCGAAGTGCCGTGCAGAATAGTGTGGCGGTAAGAAAGATCTGGTATGGGGAGCACTTCACTGGCTTAACTTTGACTGCCTGTTCCAGGCGAAGCATGCCTCGTCAGGAGCAGTGGGCATGAAAGGTGGATCCATTCAACACGTCTCCGCTCCATTCTCATAACCGTTTCCAATAACAGGAATCGGGACTCTTCCGAGACGCGCTCTTGGCGAGGTTGCGTTTGTGTCTGCCAACCGACACCCGCACGAGCCACCCGCACCTGGACTGAAGCTGAAGCGCGCGTCCACCGAAGCCAGCGAAGAGCGGCTGAAGAGGCAGCGCGTGTCTTCTGACCGCCTCTCGAAAGGCGTGGCTGTGTGCGCAGAGCCCGACTTGCCCAACTCGTCAACCACAGTATCCACCACTGCAAAACTCAAAGCCTCCATCCAATCACGACAGCCGCAACACCAAATTTCGTCTGCACAAATAGCCATAAACGCGCGAGCCACCGTCGCATCCCGGGCAAAACTGAACGGGACTGGCGCATCCCAACTCGCCGCTGCTCGGAACGCGGCCGTTAACGCGTACGACCTGGCGACTGTGCGCGCAAACATTAACGCAAAAACTTCATCCATGGCCTTGCGTTCGCGCAATATCTCCACTCACACCGCGTCTCGGGCTGCCTGGAACCATAACCCGGTGGCAGTGTCAAGTGTGCAAAAGTCAGCCATCGACATTCTGATTCAGTCAGCATCTGTCGCAAAAAAAAAACCCGCCTCGGTCGCGCCGCACCCTCGATCCGTCTTAAAACCCGCCCTCAAACACTCTGGTACAATATCAAAGTGCAACAAAGATAAGCACGTCGCAATCAAAGCGTCGGTTGATGGCAAACTTCGGTGTTCGACCCTTCCAGTCGCCCCTTGTGCTACTCAAAAGTACGTTGCGCCTAGAGCTCATGATCATTCCCATGTGATGGAATTGGACAATGTGGCTAACGCACACACTGATTCTGCCCCTCATCCAATCCGTGAGCATGAGCATACATTGATGCCAAGGCCTGTCATGTATTATCCACTTGCTTCAGTCTCATTGGAATCTACAAACTTGAGTCGAGCCGTCTATCCGCGGGATGCTGATCCCATGCTTCTGTCTGAGTATGCCGAAGAAATATTTGAACACATGAAACTGATGGAGGTGAGAACCGCGAGGAGACCCCTCGTTCGTCCAATGTTACTCACATGGCCTTTCAGACGAAAACCACCCCGAACCCCGACTACATGACTCACCAGCCCCACCTCACCTGGGAAATGCGCTCCCTTCTTGTGGACTGGCTGCAGAGCCTACATACGCGGCTCCACCTCCTCCCCGAGACGCTCTTCCTCGCGGTGAACCTCATGGACCGCTTCATGAGCCTCAAACTAGGCGTGGGGCGGGACAAGTTTCAGCTCGTGGGACTCACCTGTCTGCAGGTGGCGTGCAAGTACGAGGAGGTGATGGTGCCCAGTGTCGCCGTGCTCGTTCACATGGTGCAGGGTGGCTACAGCGCGGATGAGGTTTTGAAGGCAGAGCGGTTTGTGTTGGGGATGATTGGGTTTGGGATCGGTTACAATGGGCCTGTGCCATTTTTGAAGCGTGTTCTGGCAGTGGATGCGAGGGGAACTGGGGAGGGTTTCGACGCGTCAGGTGAGGTGGCCAAGGTTTCCCTGTTGGCGAGATATTTTTGTGAGGTTGTGCTCTTGGATCCCGGGTTTGTTGGGGCCGCGCCATCCATGGTTGCCACTGCAGCCGTGTTTTTGGGCAGGAAGATGCTGGAAGTGGGGCCGTGGGTAAGTTTGTATCTACTTCTTCATGGATTACTCTCCAACGAGACAATGTATTGCCTTAGACACCTCAACATGAGAAAGCATCGGGATTTTCGGAGGAGCGGCTGTTTAAGTATGCAAAAGCTATGTACTCTTCAGTGGGTCAAGTGACTGTTGAGGCCGCCGTTTACGTCAAGTATTCAAACAGCAAGTTTTCACATGTTGCGGCATTTGTGACCAACTTTGTTGCTTCTAACGTTGTTAATACGTAGTCAATCGACGCAAATCGGACCCTTCCTTTTTTTTGGCATTTCCCACCATCGAACAAATAAATTTTTGGATTGTACCATGATTTAATGTCCAAAAATTATTCAGATGACGGAAAACAATCTTTCTTGCCCTGAACACTCTTACCGTGAATTCTGGCTTCCAGTTTGAGTTGGAATAGCGAAAGACAATACTGGAAAAGAAAACAATAAGCAGGCCTTCTACACAAACATCTTAATTGAGTGCAACAGCTTGCTCTTCGGAATTTGGATCCAGCGATAAGGCCCTTGAACGTCCTAATGATTTTGGAAACCAATTTCATTCCATGCAGCTATTCTCAAGATAGTCAAAGTGACGGTGCGAATAGAGAGAATGAGAATGAGAAAACGAAGCAAAGTCTGGAAATTCACCAACCTGTCCCTCTCCTACAAAAAGACCTATAAATATCAATTCCAAAAATTCAAATCTTAGACCCTTACAAGAACATCCCAAAAATTCAAACTGAAGAAGAATGCCATTTCATTGAGCACAATGTAAACGAGCATACGAATCATATAAGGAACCACATTGATCCAAAATTATAAACTCTTAATTGGATTGGTTTTTTGTATCTTTCCCAGCCTTCGACAACAATGGAAACACTTTTACAGAAGAAACTTGAGCAGCATGACTTTTCAGATTTGACATTTGCGACAAATGGTCCAAAATCGTATTTTATCACAATGTTGGACTTTGCCGCCACAATTGGGCTTTGCATTGCGTTATTTCTTGTCCCGCACATGATCAGTTTTCAAAAGAACACCAACAATTGCATGAAAGCCTATCCATAGGAATGAACCTGCTTTACTATAGAATATATGTTATAATAAGATTATAAGTCCATTATTTGAGATTACTTATATTAAAAATTATTGTGATAAAATACAAAAGAAATGCATTCTGTGGATTCTATGGATTCTACACTTTCAGCCGTGAGTCCTGTTTCTAGCATTTCCAACAAGGTCATTTGCACAATTTCTAAGTATGAAAGAAAACGCCTATCACTGCCTGACAGGTTCAGAAAGTGATCATTTGGGAGCTACCTGTATCAACCCTAGCAGCAGTAAGTTTTCGTCTTAAAAATTTGAACTTATATGTTACAGATTTCACTTTGTATTCTTTTTTTCGCGAATGAAGGGCTGAGGAAGCTATTAATACTTATCAGGCTTATTAAATCGTATCGATTACCAATTGGTTGCCCTCGTTGCGCACTGCTAATACACTTGGCTGTGTGAATCGATCATATTGCAACCACATCTATTTCGACTGTCTTTATGTACGAAGTACTACTTTGGGAATTGAGTGCGTTTACAGATTGGGCTGTTGTGCGAACCTGACCACCGCTTCGATCTGAATCTTTCTGGGTCGCCTGGCAACAGCGCTGCAGTCGCGGTACTTTGTGCAGGGCGACTATGTCACGCGGCAGATGAGGGGCGGGACATGTTCTTTATCTTATCAATGAGCTCTGCGATGGGGGTTACTGAGGTGAAGTGGTTGAAATGGAGGTTCGCGCAAGGGAGTTTGCTAGAAAGCCGGATGGGGCCTTGTAAGCCGCTTCCTTCCCTTTTATCTTCTTCATCTGGCTCAAGGTCACATCCTTTCTCAAGACAAACCGTCCGAGTGGAAGAAAAAGTTGGCGAAAGGGAAGATGGTGGTCTCGCAACAAGAACTGGGGTAGCAAGAATAAAGTTGAACGCTGGTGTGTGGGACTCTTATCGCTCCTAGCAACACATGGCATCCAGCCCACGGCCGTCAGACCTGCGCTTGACCTGCACTCATCCCATATATCTTCATAATCGAACATTATTATGCGCTGAACTTTGCCCTTGCATTATGTCAGCAAACACCCTCAACATTTTTCTTTTCGCCAACGGATTGTGATGCCAGTTCGGATACTGAGGCGGACCGTCACAACAGCCTCGCAGACGCTGCCGCTCGTCTCGCTCCGGGACCAGAGCGTCGTGGCAGTGAGCGAGCGGATGTTTCCGCTATGGACCCACGCCTCGTCCTTCTCCGGCGCCGACGCCGAGAGCGATGCGCCGAGGTTCAGCGAGAACCGTCCTGACGTTGTCAAATCTGGCACAGCGAAGCCGATGTCATCAACGGCGAAACGAAGCGCCGAAGCCCGCGACGCCGTGGCCGCGCTCAGACGCTTCTCACTGTCGCTCAAGGGCCGAACGTCCCGCAAGTTCCATCCGATCTTAGGGCTCTCGCAGATAGACTTGAATGCATCCGCAGAATATTCGTATCAGGAAGCGGCAGATAGAATGTATGCGGTCCTCATGGCCGCCTTGGAGTCAGGAACCCTGCAGCCATCAGCTCTGCTTCCCTCTGGTCTCAAGCAGCTCATGAAACAAGCTCCCTTAGAACTGGCTTCTCGATTGGTCGAGTTATACGCTAAGGATGTGGC